CTAGAATGGGGGCCTTATGACCTATTGTCAGATGGCCCATGTTCTTACAAAAATAGAGGGAAAGTTAGGATAGTATTTATAGGTTTTATGGCTGACTTTGGGGTAAAGAGGTTCTGGTTTCTACAACCTGCCTTGGGGATGAGGGATTCTAGTTTCTATGGCTAGCTTAGAGGAGAACAAGACTGGGGGACAGAAAGGTCGAAGGATGTCAGAGAAAACTTCTGTTGAGGTCTTCATCATGGGGTGTTATTTTCTGAGCCCCAACATCTTCAACTAGGTTCCTGACATAGAACTCTTAAAATCCTTAGAATCTCCAAAGTGATACCGTTTTGTACAGTAATGATTGACTGATGGTTGGCAGTGTATAGGTGACTTCAAGACAGGGGATGGTCACCAGAAAGACAGGATTAGAGGACTGGGACCTCCAGCACTACCTGTCCCCCAGCCTCTAGAGAGGAAAGTAATGCTGAAGGTTAAGTCAATTACCAGTGCCAATGTAATGAAGCCTCCATAAAACTCTAAAAACACAGGGTTAGAAAGCCTCCAGATAGCTGGACCCTTGAAAGTCCCTGCAAGGTGGCATGCCCAGGGAGGGCACAGAAACTCCTTCTCCCACACCTGGTCCTGTGCAGCTCTGCATCTATATACTTTAAATTGTGAACTAAGGTGAAATCTTAAGGCTCCCTCCCAGCGACTGATTTATGGGATTCTGTGTTAGCCAAGGGGATCCCCAAAATGGAGTTGCTGACCATGAGAAAGGGGATCAGACACGCCTCATCACATCCCCTCCTTTCTTAGACCTGTATTTTGTGACTCATTAACAGGCCTGGGGCTCTGCAAGACACACCTGCAGGTCCTCTGAACAAACCACTTGAATCTGGGTATATGTCCAGTACTGTGTCTCTGATCAACAGACCCTTTCTTATTTTAACTCAACATTACTTTTCACTGAGTCCTGGGCTATTAGAACCTGACTCTTTTAGCTGATTGTTAGCCAGAGAATCTTTGAACCCACCTATAACTCGTAAGCCCCTGCATTGAGATGTCCCACCTTTTGGGGCCAAACCAATACATGCCTTCCATGTACTGATTTATGACTTTACCTGTAATTTCTGTCCCCCTAAAATATATAAAGTCAAACTGTAACCTTATCACCTGGAGTCCACTTGTTCAAGGCTTCTTAGTTGTGGCTCCGGGTCACGGCCTTCAAATTAGGCTCAGAATAAACGGCTTTAAATTATTTTACAGAGTATAGCTTTCGTTTTTTTTTTCATTGTTAACAAAAAATAAGTATTATCAGTGGTTCCCTGTGAGTTCTGTGAAACACTCTAGCAAATTAATCAAACCCGAAGAGGGGACTGTGGGAACCCCAACTTGAAGCTAATTGATCAGAAGTTCTAGAGGCCTGGACTTGGGACTAGTGTCTGAAGAGAGTGGGAAATTGAGTCCACAAGCTGTGATATCTGACACTATGTCCAGGCAGATAGTGGCAGAATTGAATTGGAAGACACCCAGCTGGTGTCTGCTGCTTGCTTGCTGCTGGGGGGAAATCTACACATACTTCATGTTAGGGTGGACAGCTCATCAGGTAGGTGCTCTGTGGGTGAGAAAGATTTCTCTAGACCAAGATTAGAATATAAAGTATACAAATTATTTTATCATCTTAGAAGGAAAGAAGCAGTACGAGAGTTAGAGTGGAGAAGGAGCGGGAGAAAAGGGAGCAGGGAGATGTGGAGGTGAAGAGGCTTCCCAAAGAAAGAAAGAAGACATCCCAGCAGTATCAAGGTGAGGCTGACACTCTTGATGGGGTGGGGAGAGAGAGAGAACGAAGTGATTGCAGCCAAATTCACAGGGTGCTGTGAATGCCATATTCACTTTTCCTCTGACAGGATAAGCAACTGTTCTTGCTACTAGAGACAGACTTTTCATAGGTGTTTCTGATCCTATTGTTGATTGTGTCCTGAGATATGATTTTGACCAGGGTCTGAGGCTAGAGGCTTATACCCTATTGTTGGTCCAGGAAAGACTCCAGAACCCTCAAGATATAAAAACAAATTCTAAAAGACGGGAATCTGGTGAATGTAAAAAAAGAATTTACATTTCCTTTTGGTGTGCTCTTTTCAGTGGTTTGTGAAAATGGAAGGCCACCGGGTAGGCAGAGGAATGGCTGCTAGACAGAGAAAGAAAGCAGAAAGGGGAGAGGGAGCTTCATTTTTTAGCCCTTACTGAAAAACTATGAGTTAATAATTTCTCTATCGTTTCACCATAAAGACCAACCATCCTTCACTTTGGGGTCACAGTAGTCCTTGGTATTATCTTTAAAAAATTGTTGTTATTCATTTATTTTAGAAACAAAGTCTCACTTTGTCTCCCAGGTTGGAGTACAGTGGTGGAATGACAGCTCATTGTAGCCTTGAACTCCTGGGCTCAATTCCTTCTCCTGTCTCAGCCTCTGAAGCAGCTGGGAGTACAGAGGTGCAGCAGCATGCCCAGCTAACTTTTTCTAATTTTTTTGTAGATACAGTGTCTCCCTATGTTGTCCAGGTTGTTCTTGAACTCCTGGTCTTATACAATCCTTCTGCTTTGTCCTCTCAAAGTGCTAGGATCACATTCTCAGTGTTGATTGTTGTTGTTGAGTTAGAGAATGGAAAAAGCACTTAGGGATTTGTTTTTCTCTAATAGACTACCATGAACAATGACATGCTAACAAACTATATAACCTAGAGGAATAGACAAATTCCCAGAAACATACAACCTACCAAAATTGAGTCATGAAGAAACAGGAAATGTAAACAGATCAATGATTGAATTAGTAATCAAAAACCCCAACAAAAGAAAACTGAGCACCAGATATGAGCACGTCTTTACTTGGCTTTTCCTACAGCCTCATCCTGTTTCCCTCACCTCTTTTATTCTGAAGTACTTCCCCAATAAACCATCAGCACCAGGATTCCCTTTGTAGGCTCTGCTTATATGGAAGTAATGGAGAACAAAGGGGTTGGAGGGGGATTTGTAAATCAAATAATTTTTTAATTTATTTTTTATTTCAAATTAATATGAGGGTACAAATTTTTAGGTTACATTGTTCTCACTTCCAGGGTAAAGTTCCATTTGTAAAAGAGCCTCTGGCACCTCACAATGTGCACGTTAGGTGAGATGCCACCTCATGCCCTCCCTCCTTCTGCCAATCGTCTTCTCCCTCCCCACCACCTCCCTCTACTGCTGTACTAAAGTATATTTGTGTTTTATTGTTCCTATAAGCATGTAATTGTTTATATATTGGTTTCACATTAGTATGGAGTACATTGGACATTTATTTGTCCATTCTTGTGTTACTTTACTAAGAAGAATGTGTTTCAACTCCATCCAGGTAAAGGTAAAAGAGGTAAAGTCTCCATCTTTTTTATGGCTGAATAATATTCCATGATACACATACACCATGGCTTGTTGATCCATTCATGGGTTGATGGGCATTTAGGTTGCTTTCACAACGTGGCAATTATGAATTGAGCCACAATAAACATCATGGTGCAAATGTCTTTGTGATGAAAAGATTCTTCTTCTTGGTTGGATTGCAGGATCAAATGGAAGGTTTACTTTTAGATCGTCAAATCAAAGTATTTTGAATGAAACTAGCAGGTATCTTTGCTCCTAAAAATTCCTTGGCTGCCTCACTTGTGGAACTTCTCCAGCCTGAGCTATTCTCAGAGCTAGCCTCAGAGCACTTCACGGGTCTCTTTCATTCACTTTCTTACTCATTTCTTTGCAGGTTGCCAAAAGGAGCTCCAAACACTTGATATTTCATACAGCAATCCAGTGTTGCCCATCTCCAGATTCCAAACTCAACTTTAGGCACACTTTGGCAAATCAAAGCCATTTAAACAGAGGCTTAGTTCACAGTTCAAAGTGGACGTGTCTATGAATCGCAGTCACTTGCATTCCTCCATTACACACATGGTCTTGTGTAAGAAGCATGAATACAACGTGTGGCATGCTGCGCTTAGTATACAGAATGCATACCTTTTGGATGATGACTCTTAAATGCTTAGGACCATTCATTCAAGGCATTAGAAGAAAATCCAAGTCTGACTCTGTCTTAGACGACCCTACATGGTTTGGGACCTCGCTGCTTATCTAACCTTGTTGCTCTGGCTCCCCTTCTCACTTTCCAGCCGTGTGATGACCTCTTTTTCTCTCTCCTGACTCAGGGCCTTTCATTTGTTGATCCCCAGAAAAGTTCTTCCCCTACCTTCTCCTGGCTAGATCCCAGCGGTCCACAAGTCTCCATTCAAATGCCTCTCCCTCGGAGCATTTGCTCTGGCCACTCAAGTTAAAGGACGGTTCCTCCTATTAATTTCTTTCATGGCATCATGATGCAGTTTTCCGTTCATCCCAGTAAGTTTATTTCCTTGTTCGTTTGGTTTTTTGTTTGTTTCCTCCACTACGCTGTAAAGCTCACAAAGACACAGGACATAGCCTGTTGGTTGTGATCCCCAGGGGACAGGTGCCTGGAGCGTAATGGGTGCTGCTCAATGCGTGTTTGCCGGAGGGGCGAAGTTTGCCTCCAGAGGGTCGCCTGGGCCTCCTCTGTGGTCTCCCTGCCTCAGCACCATCACCCTGGGCTCTGCTTCCAGAGTAATCTTTCCAGAGCGAGTACTTGACTCTCCTCTCCAGATTCGTAGCCTGCTACTGCCTGGTACTCCCTCCGTCTCAGCCATACGCGCTTCCCAAGGCTCCGACCACCACGCCCCCCATCCTCTCCCTGCAAAACAGCAGCCGCGGACCGGCGGGACTACAGTCTCCAGAAGGCACCGCAACGCCACGCCACCTGATTGGCTGAACTTCCAGCGCTGACCAATAGCACGCGGTCTTGTTGGCATGTGACGCGACGGCCCGAATCCGGGGAAGCGCCGGCGCCGGGTGCCCGCACCGCGGCGTCTATCAGGTTGCTTTGGAGCCGAGCTACTTGGCCGCCCGCCCGCGAGTCCGCCCGCCTCCGGCGATGGGGAGCACGGAAAGCTGTGAGAGCCGCAGGGTTTCCTTCGGAATGGACGAAGAGGAGCGGGTCCGGGTGCTGCAGGGCATCCGGGTGAGCGGCACCGCCGGGGCCAGGGCGGGCTGGGGGGCGGCCGAGGGCGTGGAGGGGCGGGGCGGGGCGGGCGCAGAGCACAGCCCGGAGCGTAGCCGCCGCGCCCTGCTCGGCTGGTCCTCCCGCCGGGTGTGGGCAACGTGGGCTCCGCCCTCACCCGCACCGAGAGGCTGCGCTAGGACACCAAGCCACGGGTGGGCGTCTTCAAGTTTCGCCGCACAGGCTGGCGAAGAAGTGGAGGACAGGACAGGTGGGAGGCCGAGCGAATACGAGGGAAGCCTGGAGCCACGTCCCAACCCTACTTGGCTTAATTTTTACATTTCCCGAATTTGTTCCCTGTCTCCCATGCCGTGGTCCTCCAAGTGCGCGCGCCTTGTTGGTGTATACCTGAGATGCTTCCAATCCCGGATGACTGCAGCGGTCTCTGGACTGGGGCTTTCCACTTTCCGCTCTGATTTCTTTTTCTTCCTTCCTACCTTCTTTTATTTATTTATCTTTTTTGAGACAATCTCAATCTGTCACCCTCGGTAGAGTGCTCTGGCATCATAGCTCACAGCAACCTAAAACTCTAGGGCTCAAGTGATGCTCCTGTCTCAGCCTCCCGAGTAGCTGGGACTATAGATAACAGACACACACCACAGACACCCCGCTAGTTTTTCTGTTTTTAGTAGAGATGGGTCCTCTCTCTGGCTCAGGCTGGTCTCGAACTCCTGAGCACAAACAGTCCACCGACCTTGGCCTCCCACAGTGCTGGGATTACATGGCATGCGTGAGCCAAACCTGGGCCTCCTCTCCCCACTCTTGCCCTGACAGCCTGTTCTCTCCAGCATAGCCAAAGAGGCACTTTAGGAATCAGACAAGTTACTCTTCCCCTTGCTTAAACCCTCCTAGCACACTTGAGGAGTGAAGGCCTTACTTGGTTTTCCAAAGCTGTGGTGGTGCCCATTGACTTACCTAATGGCATCTCAAGGCCAGTTCCCTCACTCCCACCCTCCCCTACTCACTGGCCATAAGGATCTCCTTGTTCTTCCTGGAAGATGCCCTGCTCGCTTCAAGCATAAGCTCTGTGTGTTTGCTGTCTTCTCTCTCCCCGCCTTTCCTTAAATCTAGCGCTTTACTGTCATTCTTGTTATAGCTCATATGTCATCTGAGAACCCTTCTTTTCACCACTCAGTCTAAAGCCATCCCACTGTCCTTCATTTATTATTTTCATGGCTCTTATCACAGTTTGAAATTTGTGTTTCTAATTGTGTTTGCGTATTTGCTGTATTTCCCACTAGACTATAAGCAGCTTGAGGCTAAGCATCTTGTTTGTTTCACAACTCCCTAGAACTTAGAAGAATAATAAAAGCAGCTCATATTTCTGTGTATAGTAGGGGCCATGTAAACCTTTATAGGTATCTTATTTACTTTTTAACAGCCCTATGAGAGAGGCAGAATTCTTTTAAGGCTATTTTATAGATTAAGGACTCAGGCACTGAGAGGTGAAGGAACTTACCCAAGGTCATGTGAGTAACAGTGGGAGAGTTGGGATGGAAATAAGCCACCTCCGCAACCATGACTGGCACTTAGTTGGTGCTTTGTAAATAACTGTGGAGTGATGAAATGAAATGATCCCGGTGAAACAGAGCAGCATTAAATGGACTACACAGAGCTGGCTGTAGGTGAATTAGTTCATTAGGGAGGTGGCTCCCAAAGATTTCAGAAGTCTGACTTTTAGGCCCAGATACTCATTAGCTTTATGACCTTGGGTGAAACATACTTTGAGCCTCTATTGCCACATTAAGGAAAAAAAAGTGTGTGTGTGTATCCTAGGTGCTGCCTAAGAGTAGATGAAGATGCGTGTGAAAGTGTTTGGAAAATGTACAGAGTGTTTTGTGGGGACTTCACTTAGCCTAGCAGAGTACTCAGCCCATTTGGTGCTTGCTAAATGTTGTATAGCCTTGTTGACCTGGCTTGTGGCAAGTATTAAATGGGGGAAGAGATGGCTTGGCTTGGAATACTGGCGGGGGGGGGGG